AAGCGCGTATCGAGGCTTGTTTCATTTGGGGGAGGAGCCAAAAATGATGACATCCGAAGCCTCGCTTGCCCGGCTGTACCACGTGACTGCTTCAGGAAGTGGTTCGCGGATTTGGCGCGATTCGAAACAGCGGCAAGTGAAATGCAACAGATTCCCCCAAAACATTTAGTGGTTTGGGGTTATTGCGAGTTTGGTACATTCTATTTGAGATTTTTATTTATTTATTTATTTATTTATTTTAAAGCAGGGGAAATTCTCTGTAAAAAAGAAACCGTCTGAGTCCAAATACTGTGGAGAAATTGATATTTTAAAATAAAAATGAATAAAATGACCCTATCTTGCCGTCCTTATTGTGGCATAAGCACAGATGTAAAGTAGTAACACAAGCACAGTCACATTACATCCTGATCTCCAATTTGTTCCTACTTTTTCTTTTAACCCAACCTTTATATCATGAACACAGACTCCAGGTTCATACATTCACACTTTATGTTGAAATCGCAAACATTCATATATTTCATCGTTCATTTATTCAGTATAAATCTTTCCATCAGAACCTCGATGATCATGTTGATTGTTCTATTGTCACTCTGCCTCTTATACATTTTTTGGGACACTTGATGGCGCAGTGGAGCAAATGAAGCACCTTGAAGCATCGGCTCAAGAGTCGAGCAAATGGCTGGAACGCTTCAGTGCTTCATGGGGCTTCATCTCACCATCACTACTGAGGGGAAGGAAAGAAGGGTGTATCGGCTCCAGCAAATCTTTATTAGATCCGTGATGAGGCGTTTTTCCAAGTGTTTTGAGTAGCAGCGATGGAGCACCGGAGGAGAGGAGCAGGAAGGGGTTGTGTGTGTGTTGGGGATGCCGGAACTAAAAGAAAGTTATCCCGCCACAGTAAGGGTGCCACAGGAAGTGGTGCTACTTGACGTGGGTTACATGAGCTTTAAGTCATGTTAGAACGATTTTTACCTCCTCAAAAATAGACCTGAACTTGTGTTTTGTTTCATTCACACATGTTTGAGGAGTAACCTTTCAGTTTTAAGATGTCTACATCTGCAAAACTCAAAATGCTCTGTTCCACCCTGTGATGTCATGTAGTGGCAGTGTTGGGAAGGTGACTTTTAAAATGTATTCCCCTACAGATTACAGATTACATAAACCAAAATGTAGTTTGTAACAGTAATCCATTAAATTAGTTAAAGTGAGTAACGTAATCTGAATACTTTGGATTACTTGATTTGCTGTAGAGAAGCAAAGACGAGGAAATCGTAACATAAGATGTTTTGTCTGATAAAAATAAATTAAAAGCCCAGACTTTACTTAACAATATTAAAAATATTATTGATAGAAGAGGAGGAGACACGTGCACACAGCAGGATTTAGTCCTGTTAAATCCTGTTTGAGACATAGTTTAGACCTGGTTTTAGATCTGGTTTAGTCTTGGTTTAGATGTGGTTTAATCTTGGTTTAGATGTGGTTTAATCTTGGTTTAGTCCTTGATTAGATTTGATTTTAGACCTGATTTTAGACCTGGTTTAGACCTGGTTTGGACCTGGTTTAGTTTTTAGACCCGGTTTTAGACCTGGTTTAGACCTGGTTTTAGACCTGATTTAGACCCAGTTTTAGACCTGGTTTAGACCTGGTTTTAGCTCTGATTTAGTGTCCGGCAATGAGTGGAATTACAGAAAAAACAGGAAAATACCTCTGTGTAATCCATTTATTTCAACAAAGTAACTGTAATCTAATTACCGCTCACTGAAACAGTAACTGTAACCGAATACAGTTACTCATAATTTGTACTCTGATTACGTAACTCTGGTACATGTAATCTGTTACTCCCCAACACTGTGTAGTGGTAGTCTTCAGATAAACAGATAAACCTTCTGCCTTCTGTTCAGTGGAGATGGGCAAATCCAGGTCTGAAATCTAGTCTGATTTTTGTGGTGTATGGAGTTTAAAAACATAGTGGAGCACTTCCTCAAGTCTTTTCCTTCCGGGCGCCTCGGCTTTGGAACGACCTGCCTCAGGAGATAAGTCTCATACTTCATCATCTTCTTTAAATCCTTTCTTAAAGCTCATTTGTATCGGTTAACCTTCCTTTAACTGCTTTTAGCTTGATTTTATTCCTTGCTTATTTTTATTCTATTTTATTAAATTATTTATTATAATAAATTGAACTGATTGCTTCATTGTCTGATTTTTATGCTTTCTGGATGCTATTTTTGGGCCTCATTCATGAACAAATTTTAACATTTTTGGCATTCACAAAACTTTTTTTTTTTTTTTTACTGAAAATGTTCTTCTGGAAGAACAAATCCTGCAAACAGTCAGGAGGAAATTCTATTGTTTCAGGGTTAGTGAATATTATTACTCTGATAAAAACGAAATAACTAAAACTTCTAATTCCTCCATGATTGTAAGTTATATATATTCATAAATTATTTCCTATAAACATATGACTCTGTGATACAGTAACATTTATGAGGAGTTTTTGAGAGCCTGTGGCTCTTGAGTCTAAGTCTACGTTCACACTGCAGCCTGAAGTGGCCCAAATCTGATTTTTTTGGCCCCTATGTGACCTGTAACTGATCTTTTAATGACAGTTAACAACAGATTAGATTTTTTTCAAATGTGACCCAGGCCACTTGGATATGTGCTCCTGAAACCGATACATATCTGATCTTTTGACATGTGACTTCAGTCTGAACGGCCAAAGTGCATTCATCCACCTACACGTTATCAACAAGACACAAACGTCACTATTCTGCACTGAAGTAGGTGAAAATTGTTAATGAAGCAAAGCACATCACCACTCACCACTCTTGGCTACGTCTCCACATCCACATGTTCCTTTCAACGGACGTCGCTGCCGCTGCCCCACAAAACACCACGACCAAAAACCTCGTCCTTCTCCTTCTCAATCTCCTCTTTAAAACAAGTAAGTTGTTCATGTTCTGGCTCCGGTACGAGAGGAACTTTAAAATCTCCAGGTGCTCGATGCTGCGTCCATGTTTGGACAACTTCCGTAAACACAGAGCACGCTCGCTGCGGTTGACGTCATTGTGTCCTCTGGTGCACATATGGGACACTTTTGGGCCGTTTAATGTTCACACTGGAGATCACACACAAGTCGCATTTAATTGGAAATGTGAACGACCTCGCAAAAACATCGGATTTCACAAAAAAATAAGAATTGAGTCTTAGGCTCTGAACGTAGTCTAACAGACTTTCTCCAGGCTGCAGTGATCCTCAGTCTGTCCCAACCCCAGTGTCTCCATCAGGGCCTCTGTCACAGCCCTGAGCCTGAACACCCCCACCCCATCCCCCCTCCCTCGCTATTTACCACAGGTCCACAATCACGGAAAGTGCGATAAATACGACAAAAGCATTTGTATATTTCAATAAGTTTCTTTCTGAGTGTGTTCATGTGAGTTTGGACATTTGAAATCACCGCTGAAGCTGTAAAACAGTCGTAGTCTGTAGACGCTCCACCTGACCTCCTCATCACGCTCTCCCTCGAGCTTTCACACCTCATAATATCAAACCCATGTTGGCCATATCTGGAAGTTCAGAGGGCGTTTTTGACCAAATACATATTCATTTTCTATGCAAATGAAATGTAAATGAGCTGGAGGTGTTGGTAGCTGAGTGTTGGTGAATTTGGCGCAACTGTCACTTAAGAAGGAATTTGTCTGCTTAAGAACGTTTAGTGAATCTGAGGCAGGGTTTTCTCAACATCTTCTTAACGTGGAAGTTACAAACATTTTTAAAGAAAAGATTCATGAATGAAGCTGTTGTTTGCTGCTTGTCCAGCACTTTGTAAACCTTATTTTTAAAAGTGCTTTATGTATAAATATTGATTATTATTATTCCTGTGTTTTCCATTTGATGAACTCAGCCTAAATGTGCAGGGATTTGTGTGTTGAACATGTGTGAATGAAACAAAACACAACTCCAGATCAGTTTTTTATAATAATGAAACAACTTTATAACATAGATTAGAAAATATGTGGGACTCTGCTCCAAAATCGCTTCTATAACTGCGAGCCTCAGGGTCTGGTCAAGCGGTAACCGAGGGAAACAGGGGCAGATTTTTGACATTCAAATAGCTCTTATTCAGAAACTAGAGGAACTATTGAAATAAGTAAAGTATCAGAATGTAGGAAAGAGTTAACACACAAAATATGCAGCACTTTTTGGGCAATAAATCCAAACAGTGATAACTCTTGGTTCTCACTTACATATCCTTAACAAACTGGTTTGAATATTTGCTTCATATAGTTTTCTACCATATGGTACAAGATTAGGTTGAAAAACCTCTTACTTTTTGAGTCATGAGATTTTTTATTAAGAAAGGTCATGGTAACGGAGGGAAAATTGTGCAAGCAAGTAGAAGGTGCATGATTTTGTATAATTTGTCAGCTTTTTTCTTCCAAATACTTTAATATTACTTCAAAATGAAAGGAAACTATTTCTATAAAATATGTCAGTCCTTCCAAGCAAATTTTTATTTTTAAATCATGTACCTTCATCAACAGTTCAAAGATGGAATAACACCAGATATGATTAAATACATTTATTTACATGATTTGCAGGTCTTTGAAATTTGGGAAATAATTTTTGTTCCATGTTTCATACATGGTCTGTTTAAAACGTATGGAACTTTAGAACCAAAAATGGTACAGAAAAAAAGTCAACAGTTTCATAAACTAGAGTACATATGTATCTGTTGAATACATTTTTATATCAGATGCATTAACTTGAATTTTTGGCCTTGTTGTTTACTTCTGCTTGACCAGGCCCCTCAGTGAGCTTCATTTGACTGGAGCCAAACGCTGTAGGTGACTCAGACTCACTTAGTCCACTTCTTCATACATCTGTGTTGCCCTTAGACATACAATTTACAGTATTTACCCCTCCTCTATGTCCTCCTCTTCCTCCTCGGTGGTGTTCCGTCTCTCTAACCGTCCTCTCCTCCGTCCCTCGTCTGTCTTCAGGTGTAGCGGAGGTGATCGTCCTGGTGGGGGGGAGACAGACCATCGGGATGAACCAGAGATCTCTCACCGCCGTGACCTGCTTCAACCCCCAGAACAGTAAATGGTACCCTCTGGCCAGCCTGCCCTTCTACGACCGAGAGTTCTTTAGCGTCATCTCGGCGGGGGACAACATTTACCTGTCAGGTGAGTCCGGCGCGGTGACGTTTACACACCTGCTAATGGCTTTAATGCTATAGGAGAGAATATAGGGGCTAGACTATACGAGCTTGGCAATGTCACTTCAGAGTCAATGTGTGCTTACAAGTTTTACAGTAAATATAAGTATAGAGGTCTGTGAAAGTTGAGTTTGTGTTTTAGTATTTCATTCAGAAAATATTCCTTTTGCATTTACTTTGTGCTTTTCTAGAAACTTTTCGATCTGTTGTTTTATGGGGTTCGGTCAAAGTGTATAATAAAACTAGAGAAATCTTCAGTATCATAGTATTCTAGTAGAAATATAGTACTTTTAACCTTTGCCTGTGAACATGTGACTAGACTTACAGGGCCAAAAATATTGCTCATAGACACAACAAAAGAGAAGTTGGAATCAAACCACCACCTTTTTACTGCATAATTACTTATTATTATTTATTATTTATTATCTAATATTTATTATTAGATATTTTCTGCTTTAGAGTTCTATCACCTGTTCTGTCTGTAGAATTCTCAATTTTTTTTTCTTTTTTTTTTTTTTAAGTTTTCTTTAAATGTATACTATAACAAATGTTAAGACTGTGCAATTAATTAAATTTTGATCGTGATTTCGATTTGTGTGTCAAACGATCTCCAAACTCATAAATAAATAAATTAAATAAGTATAATAAGTATATCATAAATAAGTTTATTTATTTATATATATATTTTTTAAATATAGAGATTGTAGAACAGCTGGATATAGAGTTTGTTTGGATACATTTATTTTTTTCTATGCTTTATTTAATGTATTTTCAAAGTATATTTTATTCATTTTATGTTTTATATCACAAAACTGCTCTAAGGTTAGTATTTGTAGCCTATATTTATATTTTAATTAGAAAGTTTTGTCTCAATTATCAATAACAAAGTGTTTTGGATTTATTATTATTATTATTATTATTTTTTTTTTTTTGAGAGAGAAATGCTGAGTAAATGCATCGTGTAACTAAAAAATAATCTTTTAAATAATCATCATTTCAGTATTGACCAAAATAATTGTGATAATGATTTTTTCCATAATCGAGCAGCTCTAACTAATGTCCAGTGTTTATACCAAACTAATGTGCACAAAACATGAAACCAATACTGCTTACAAATTATTATCCATGTATGCAAGGGAAAATTACTATGTCATATTTACTGACAAGCAAACAAACTGTCATTTTACATTTATTGATATTTTGCAGTGACATCACTTTGGGGGTGTTGTACATGTATCTGTATGGTGGAATGTTCAGAATTTGCATTGGAGACACAATGCACACAACAGCAAACACTGTCAAAAAATGTTAAGCTTGTCTGAAAACAAGAAAAATATCAAATCGATTTAAACAGCACATGTTCAGGAGCTTGTGATCAGTACGAGTGTTGTGGAAATTATCTGTAAAATAATACCAAAACATACAAGAAGACTAGACCGTCTCTGGTTTATTACGTTTGCGTCGGTAACAAATGATCTCACTACTGACAAGTTTCTGCTGCACTGAGCCCAAAGCAGTGCGGTAACAACACTTAAATACTTTATGAGGTCCAAGTCCTTCCCAAGAACAGTTTGCATTTATGTCAGTCTGGCCATTTGGCTTTGACAGCTCACAAAAGTAACACCTAAATGATCATGTGACTACAGGTCAGGATGATCAAACACTGAACATGTGAAATAAACCGCAGACATGTAAATGGAAAACCCAAATGTACCTATAGGCCTCCTGTGAGAGGATTAGACAGAGAATAGTGTGGCTTTGAACTCTTGGAAACTCCCAATACTCAAATTTGCACCACAACGAGCATTCATGATCCTGTTTAGGAGTTTGATTATCAAATAAAAGGTGACTGCAACTTAGGCTATGTTCACACTGCAGGGCTTAATGCTCAATTCTGATTTTTTTTGCAGTGTCATTCACAGTTCCAATTAAATGCTACTTGTTTGTGATCTCCAGTGTGAACTTTAAACGCCCCAAAAGTGTTACGGAAGTCGCCTAAACATGAACGCAGCATTGAGTACGTGGAGATTTTAAAGTCGCTGTTGTACCAGAGCCAGAACATGTACAACTTATTTGTTTTTTTGTTTTTTGTTTTCAATTAACCAGTATTGTAATGTACACTGAACAAAACACAAAATAAGGATCCAGGTGTACATTTGGCACATCTGACCAGTAACATAAACTTTTTTTTTTTTTTTTTTTCCATTAAAGTTTATTGGAAACAAAGGAACAAAATATATCATTGACACATCATTTCAATTGTAATCCCCTTTCTCCTTTTCTAAAAGTAAACAAAGTCACTGTACTTATATTATAGAAATTATCAAGCTTGAACAAAAAAAATAAAAAATAATAATAATATTGGTAATATTAAACTAATAATAACAAAACAAAAAAAAATAAGTAACTTATTTGTTTTAAGGAGGAGATTGAGAAGGAGAAGGACGAGGTTTTTTGGTCGTGGCGTTTTGTGGGGCAGTGGCAGCGACGTCCGTAGAAAGGAACGTTTGGGTGCAGAGTGGGTGGAACTGCAATGCTACTTCAGCGCAGAATAGTGACGTTTGTGGCTTGTTGATGACATGTAGGTGGGATGAATGTGACCTGACTGTTCAGACTGAAGTTGCATGTCAAAAGATCGGATATGTGTCGGTTTTAGGAGCACATATCCAAGTGGTCTGGGTCACATTTGAAAAAAATCGAATCTGTGTTGTTCAAACTGTCATTAAAAGATCAGATCCAGGTTGTGTAAGGGCGAAAAAAATCAGATCTGGGTCACTTCAGGCTGCAGTGTGAACGCAGCCTGACTGAAAAAATAGAGATCGTGACTGTAACTTTATGCGTGAGAGACTCAGCTCCAACCAAGTCAGATGTTTCTGGTCAGATTGTGTTAAAATAAAACTCAGATTAAAGTTTAAGAAAGTGTTCAGAGCATGTCAAGACAAAGCCTAGACGCAATAATCCTGGTTTAGTTCTTTTCTAGGCTTGAAACTACCCATTTTCCTCATAATTTTACACACATACACAATTATTAAAAGCTTGGAATGATCTTGATTTTCCCTTGTCAGATACACGCCCACTTATAAAACCTGTCAAATTTGAACTTGTGAATGAGTTGTGCGACACTAGCCCCCTCTCTCTGCCGCTCTGTCTGTCACGTCGGGTTTGTAGTTTCAGTTTTGGTGCAGAAAACCTTTAAAAGCCCATTTTCTGAGCTCCGTTCTGTTCCGTGTGCGGCTCAGTTGGATTAATGACTGTAATTAGACCCATTTAAAAGTGTTTTGTTTCTCACTTCTATAAACTAAAACTCACCTCACACACTTTAATAGCACAAGAGTTTCAGCATTACAATTGGACCCACAGGACATGCACTACTTTGTTTCATAATTAAACCATGCTTCTTTCCATTTGGAGTTCTTTTGACTGGAGATTAGATGCATAGAGTTGAATTTAAAGCTTCTATATTACACCTTTTCCTGTTCTATGTTTTAATGTAGTTTCCTCGTCACAAACAGACCTGGAGTTGTGTTTTGTATCATTCACACATGTTTAACACACAAACCCTGCACATTTAGACTTCTCTCAAACAGAAAACACTCTGTCCCACCTTGGGATGTAAAACAGGAAGTGCTGCACTGTGTTTTTAAACTCCATGGGCCTTCACTAGAATCATTTGGATAAGCTCAGCCCTGGAATTGCCGATCTCTACTGAACTAAAGGTAAAAGGAGCTGTAAACTACCACAACATGACATCACAAGGTGGAACAGAGAGTGAGAACAAAAACACAACTCTAAACGCCTGAAAACACCGATACACTGATGTAGGTCTATGCGCCACGAAGTAATTAACAGCCAAAATGCTAAGAGGCTAAAATATATGTCCCTTCACATATACAGTCTGTGTGGACGACCTGCAGACGTATAATCTCTGAAAAGTTTCACATGAACCATCTCCAACACGATAGAAGCACAGAACAGACTCACCATCAGCAGAACACCCCTCTGTCACAGAAAGAACACTCATATTCCACTGAGTCGTGTCCTTTAGTCCGACAGAAGCTGAACCACATCAGCGCACAACAGCGTTTAGTTTATGCAAATTAGCCATGCGGTTTTAAGTTTTGTTTCTGTAAAACGTAAACAAATATGCTCAAAGTGTGTGGAGAGGGAAGACTTGCAGACACAGAAACCACGTGTCTGGATGCAAATCATTTCCGATACGGAGATACTGTGATTTGTTTCAGTGTAAATGTAACCTTTGTGAGTGTCACCTCATCCATAGTGTTCAGCTTTACTCAAATGAAGCTTACGTATGTTTTTAAGAAAGTAACAACATTGTAGTATGTCTTAAAACTCAAAATAGTCCATATTAGTAATGTAGGACATTTAAAGTTGCACTGATGTGACTTTTCTAGTGAAGGGTTCACCACTTCACTTTGTCTTGAATGTTCCACAGTATGGCATTAGATATATCTGGTTAGTTGGAATGCAGTAATAACCAAAATATCCTGATATCGTATCATCAAAAGTCTCAAGTCACAATATATCGAATCACAAGTTCCTCTGCTTGAATACATGGTTTTATAGAAGCAACAGGAGTCTGGACTCGGCAATCAGGAACTACATATCCCATGATTCATTTCAGCGCAGACAACATAAAGAAATATGTTTTTTACTTGAATTCTTGGGATTATGACGGTAATGATTCACACCAAAATCTTGTCAAGGTATTTTACAAGAAAAAAAAGTGTCCTGTCTACAAGTATATTAGCTTTTCCAAAATATCACAATAAATATCGTACCCTGAGAAGCATATCTTGATAATATCGTACCGAGACATCCCTACTGTTTAGCATTTATTTCAATACAAGTGTTTTTATAATGCTTGTTTTGAAAGCACCGTTCCACTCTGTAGATGTGACCTTGTGGCACCACCTGCTTATCACAACAGAAATACTTTTAATACCACAC